ATCAATACAATAAAGACACACACACACACACACAGTATATATGTATATGTGTGTATATATAAAGTAATACTGTTACGTATATTAAAGATTCATTATTTGAAATCAATGGAGTTATTTTGAACTTTATATTCATCATAGAACCCTGAAAAAAATTATCACAGTTTCCACTGTTTCTTGAGCACCAAATCAGCATATTTGATTTAGATTTCAAAGCACATTAAAGTGGAAAATAGCTATTTCAAATTAGAATAATATTTCACAATATTACTGTTTTACTGTGTTTTTGAGCAAATAAAAGCAGCCTTGAGCATAAAAGACTTCTTTCAAAAGCATTAAAACATTGTACCAACCTCAAAGTTTTGAATGGTACTTTATAGATAGAGAAAGAGATAGAGATACATAAAGAGATATATGTATAAATAGTAGATTAACTGTTTTCAGTACATTCAGTAGTAAATTTGTTCAACCCATTAATAATTCAAAGTGGAAGTCATCATACAATAAAAAGGTGGAAATCATAATTCCACCACTCAACAGGGCTGAATAGATAGTGACACCCTAAACAGACTTTTTTCATTTGTGACTATGTTCAGTCTTTTGCTCAATATTTGCATAAATTGTTTAAATATCAGTAGTAAGTCATAGGGACATTCACAGAAGACAAATAGCCCCAGATATGGTTTAGGTATCAGAATTGTAATGTTTTTAAATCATTTTGAACTTTTAAGCCAACAGACATCAGCCAAATAATAAGAAGAGGATGGCAGTGGGAGGAATTCAATGACGAGAGACTGTGAAAGCAGGAAACTGATTTAGGTTTGATGAATGAACCTCTTCTCCCAAACCTTGACTTTGGGCTCGGGGAGACTGGCTGCCTACAAAACTGAGCATTCTGTCAGCCCATTGCCATGGCGACAGCTCCTCTGGGCCATGCGAGGTATGAAAGGCTGTACAGGACGCTGACCTGCCACAACTCTCTAACGCCTGTCATCCTGGCTTAGTGAGGCAGTGAGTTTGAGACGGTGGTGAGGGGGGAGAGACCCTGAAGTGCATGAGATTTAAAGAGTAGAGTAAGATGAATTCTCAGATGGAAATGGCAGAACTGCATCTCAGTAAGTGCCCGTAGCGAAGAGGGAGTGATGGCCTGTCAAGGGGAGCCACTGAAGAAAGAGACAGTGTAAGAGAGAGAGATATCAGATTAAATTAGAGGCAAACTAACAGATGAGACCAATGATAGGGTGACTAAGGACCTCATTTCAAAATGTGTAGGAAAAAAAACACATATTATCTCGGTTCTGCTAGGCTCTCTGAACCTAACCAAATTTTAAATTGGAAGCTGGAGGGGCAGTTCAGAGATTGAGGTTTGGTCCAACCAGTCGGGACTTGAAATCAATCTACTTTACATTATTGGCATTTTGGTTATTGGTTTAGATCAGCTCGGGGTAGGATATTGGTGTTTGTACGTCTCCAGGCTCTGAAAATAACTGGATTTGCTTTATCAAAATAGAGTACAGATTAAATCTTACTCAGGCTTGTACCATGAAATAGGAGGCTGATTAAAAGAGGCTTATAGTCAGTAAGAAATTTGGATGTTCTCTGAGATAAAATGTCAGTGCAAGAGAGAAACTGGAGAGCTCATACTGTACCATAAGCAAAACAGACTGAAGAAGAAAAGGAAAGTCCATCACTGTCGAACTCATGTCTCATCATCATTAAGAGAGAGAAGAGGCTCCATCAGGTCTGTTATTTGTCGGCTAAGCTCTTGCAGTATGCATAATTGGCAACTATTATTGATATGGTATGAAATCATTCACTCTAGAGCAATTAAAGATTGCAGGGCAAATGGGAGCATAACAACAATATATTACCATCATCAACTGTACAATACAATCTCTCTCTCTGTAAAATTTATAAATAAATATGTATATATTATTTAATAGATCAAGCTGAAACTGACACAAACTGTGCTATTTTTTATGTCAGTCAGCATAGTTATCAGCTAATGCAATTCTTGGCCATTTTGAAATGATGATTTATTGGTCCACTACAATTTTGCAATTCAGTGTTTACACTGGATTAAATCACAAAGTACCTCAACAGGACGGTGATATATACAGATTTTAGAGAAGTAAGCAAACACAGTCCCACTTTATAGGTAGCCTTAACTATGTACTACTTACATTTAAATTAATGAGTTGATGCAATGCACTTATTGTGTACATACACACTCTAAAAATGCTGGGTAAATATGGACAAACCCAGCGACTGGGTTGTTTTCAACCAACAGTTTGGGTTAAATGTTTAACCCAACCTTCTGGGCAGTAACCCAACCGCTGGGTCAAAACAACACAATCGCTGGGTTTGTCCATATTTTACCCAGCGCTGGGTTGTATTTAACCCAGCATTTTTTAGAGTGCATGTTTTTACAATGCACTTATATTTTAAAGTTGCTGTATGTAGGATTGACACCGAGTGGTTGAACTAGGTATTGCAGTCCAAATTCTAAATATTGGAGAGGGTTTTTTTCACCCGGCCCCTCCTCCTCAGACTTGACGCACATGCAGGTTGCCAGATTGACGACACCAACAGGAACGAACACGCATGACGATGAATGAAATGAAATAGGCTGTTTTCCGAAAACTGACAACCCGGGGTGACGAAATACAATTGGGTAAACTGGCAGTGGGCGGGTTGATTGTTCCACACTTAAAACTACCCATACCACCAAACCTGTTTCTAACCTTACTTGTATCCCACCTTAATAGCAGCAAAAATGTTTTGAGTTGCACTTTATTTTACAGTACGTGTACTTACTTGTACTTACAGTGTACTTACAGTATACTTACCTAAGAAAGTACTGGTAATATAAGGTAACTACATGGGGTAGGGTTAGGTTTAGGGGTAGGTTCAGGGTTAGTACCTAGTTATTACCTAGTTATTGTAATTATTATAATAAGTACATAGTATGTACATGAGTAACAGGACTGTAAAATAAAGTGCTACCACGTTTTGCAATACAATATTAACACAATAAGTACATTGTACTTATTTTTGATATAAGTACAAGGCCTCCTAATATAAAGTGGGACCGCAAACACTTTTGGCAATGTTGACCTCATTCACACTCAAGCACAGAATAAATAATTAATTAATTCATTGAAAAAAAAAAGTTAAATGTACAGATCACCAGGAGAACATCTGAACTTGGGATTAAACCTAAAAACTCATACAGTATATTCATATCTATACCATCATGTGACCCCACTCTACTTAATGATTTTACTGTGCAGGTTAGGCCTATCATACAAACAATGGTTAAACACTAGCTACATTAATACAGAGATGCATGGCTACAATCGTTGTGATTAATAATTTAGCATTTCTTCTCAATTTTGCAAGTAGTATAGCTGTTTGCACTGAGCCAAGCAAAGTTCAGCAAACTGTTCCTCTGAGGTTTGGTTTGCAGTGAGAAACAATGTGTGTTTTCCAGTTCCAACCAAATAAGAGTCATATATTATCACCATATTTTACATCACCTCATGGCCTTCATTACTCGGCTTCAGTGTGGGCATTGCACTTTCATACTTATCGGATTTAAAATCCATGGTACTCCAATCATATTATTATCGTACTATTTTTCAGTTCTGTTAGTGGAGACATTGTTTTTTCATCTGTCATGTTACCACATGACACACTGCCGTCTTCTTCCTTACTTGTTTGTTTTTGCTCCTGTTGCCCTGGGTGAATGTGTTTCCATGACGATCAACTTAAACAAACTGTATACAGGTGGTAAAGTGCTCAGCAAACAACTGCTATACACAAAGTGCCTCCTAAAACACAAAACAATAGACACCTGATCTACAGTGTTTCTCATGGAGCTACTGCAGGCTATCAGGTTCAGCTACGAGGCCATTCCTCCTCCTCATGCCGGAGGAGAAGTTCTGTCAGCTCAGATTTTGCAGACGAGGAAATGTCAGACTACTGAGGGCCACAATGGTGCTGAAATTAGCTGGCTGTATGCTACCCCGCTCACTCAAACGTTTGCTTGTAGTTTCAGGTGAGCTTCGACTCCAGCACCTCATTTGAAATCTCTTTCTAAGTCCCGACAGTATATCTCTCTCAAAATTTGCAATTATTTTGAAGATGAAGCTGTAACATGCATTAGACTGCTTTGCTTCTCATGTCCCAAGGAAGTTCTGCCCACAGGAAAAAAGAAAATTGACTGTAAAAGACTCAAGCACTCAAGCAAAATGGTCAGGATTTGGGGAAAAAATATTCTTTTGCATCATAAGTTTGTGATCAATTCTGACCTCGGTTGTTTTTAGAAATCAGAAGAAAATGATATTTCATAAAGTGCCCTCAGTGGTTGAAGTGAGGGGGCTATTTATAGTGGATCACACATCCTGTGTGGCTGTCAAGATGATAGTTTCCCATTGTTCTGAGCTTTAAAAGGTCACACATAAATAAAAGATGATAGGATTTTCCTGGGTTTAGTACCTCATAGGTTAAATAAATGAAATAAATGATATTGTTCAGTTATGCAAGTAATCAATGCATACATTTTAGCATTGCGCTAAAGTGTATAAAACCAGAAAGCTATGATTAATAAATGTTTTTCTTACAGAAACTGCACTGAACATGTGGAACTTAAACCTAGATTTTTGAAACGTCTTTTCTCTGAGCTATGTTGCTTTCATCTGGTTTTTAGCAGTCCTGCCCCTTATTGCCACCATTGCAGAAGAACCTCCAGCAAACTGTATCGGCTCATAATCAGCACACATCAGCGTCTTCAAAACTGCCTACTAAAATAAAACCTTCACTGCATAGTCTATATCAGTCAAAGTGTTCAGCATCTGTTATAAATAGTTTAATAATGAAAAATGATTCCTATATGAATATCAACAAAACCCCTTTTTATGTTTTTCAGTTAATATTTGGAGATATTTTGTTAAAGGAAAGCATTTTTTGCATGGTTACATTGTCTCTTTGTTTGTGCACAGGCCCGGTTCTCCTACCTACACATGAAGTACCTGTTTTTTTCCTGGTTGGCTGTTTTCGTGGGAAGCTGGGTGGTGTACGTGGAATACTCTTCATACACAGAGCTGTGCCGTGGACATGAGTGCAAGAACTCTATTGTGAGTTTTAAGTTCTTAGCTAGATGTTAAGTATTTGTTGAACAAAATAGCACAAAATGTTGATGCTGATTCGATGCTGTGTAAATATATTTGATTTTTAAAGAGGAAAAAATGTACTTGGTGCATCTCTACAGCTGTTGGATGCTTTTTGCAAACATTATTTACTAAAGGGAGCCATCTAGAGGAGAGTGATTACATAAGAGACACTGACTAAAGAAATGGATCAGGCAATCTTTGGGGAGTACTGTGTCATGGAATAAAATGAATAATGCAGAGTAGACTCTGACGTATGTGTTTCTTCATGTCTTCCAGTGCGATAAATTCCAGAAGGGGGTGATCGATGGTTCAGCCTGCAACAGCTTGTGTGAGAAGGACACTCTTTATTTGGGAAAGTGTCTCTCTGCCAAACCCAGCAATCAGGTCAGACACAACAGTTTGCAGTTGCTCCTTAATATAACACTGTAATACTTGTTTGATCTTTTAAAAAATGTCTACTGAACCATGCTTTTGCTTATCTGGGTCTGCACATACATTTATTTGCATGCACAGTATCATGAGTAAGGATGAATAAAATTCATCCGCTCTCTCTTTCTTGCTACTTTCTTTGTTTAGGTATATTCTGGCAGTTGGGGGGATATGGAAGGAATCATAAAGTGCCAGATGGAGGAGGACCCTCATTACGATTTGGGTGCAGAACTGGAGCCCCGAAAAGAATCCGCCTCCTTTAACAGGCCAACCAAAGGGACATCAATGGAGAAGTTCAAAGAGATGGTCTTCAGCCATCTAAAGGTCTCAAATCCCATGCTGTACTGAAATACAATATTGCTTTAACGTTATATGCTTTTAAAAACAGCGCTTTTAACATTTACATTTACATTTAGTCATTTTGCAGACGCTTTTATCCAAAGCGACTTACAATTGGGGAATACATAAAGCGATTCTACTTAAAGAGGCAAACAGACACAGGAAGTGCTCGTAATACCAAGTTCAAGCTAGAAAGGGAAGGAATAAGTAAAGAAAAAGACAAAGCTTTTTTAAAATAAATTTAGGATGAAGTCAAGTAGTGTCGAAAGAGATGAGTTTTCAGCTGTCGCTTGAAAATTGTCAGGGATTCAGCATTCCGGATAGGT